TAAAACATGCACCAACGAGCTCAACTTATCGTATTTGCTGGACTATAGTCGGCGCAGTTGCATGCTAAAGCGATGAAACATTACGTTGCGTGAGTTATCTACAGGTGCGAACTGATGTCACAGAATACTGTTCCGCGCGCTAGACTGAATAGGTTTCGGTGACTGTTCAGTCACTGAAATCTATTCGCTGCATGTAGTGCAGGCAATACAAGGATTTGTTTTAAAGGTCTTTCAATATGACGAGACGGAACGAATTTTTTGAAGTACTGAATATATTAAAGATGATTTCTTTACAATACAATCTCCTTTGCGCGCCAATAAAGCGGGCATTTTCCAAGGCGTGTTTTGCGTGATGTCTTTTTACGTTAAGAATATACTTTACGTGCGGACTATACACCGGGATGCTTTGCACTGATTGCGGACTATCTGAGGCATACGTTATATTTTCGTTTCATCAGCCGAAGTTTCCACTTCATAGACAAAACTGCAAAAACACGGTAATACCTCGCTAAGACAAGGGTGTCGTCGACAGCGCCCGTGAAGGTGCGACAGCGCTTGGTGGGCCTCCGCGCCGAGCTGCGCGAGGTGGTGACGACGTACCGGCTGCTCTTCGACGAGTCCGGCCTGCCGGGCCTGCGCTTCGTGCTGGGCTTCCACCTGAACTCGCGGCGGCTGGTTTGGCTCGCCCTGTACGCCACGCTCTTTCTGCTCACCATGTGGGACTCGCACCGTCTGCTTGCCGACTACTATACCTACGACGCCAGTGTCAACCAGAAGGTCCTGCAGGCAAGGAGCCCGGATGCGCTATCTTTGCCACGAGAAGATTGCCACGAGGAGATTGCCACGAGAAGCGGCCGGCCGCCGAAATTGGAAAGGTAGAGCAGCAGACAACGGATGAGAGTAGAGCCACGTGACGGGCGCCCTGCCGCGGCGAGACGCCGAAACACACTTCTCCCGAGCGATGGAATGTCCGCTCGTGCTCCTCCCGTTCCTCGGGCTACCGCTTCTTTTCTTGTCGGGTTTGAAAATCATGTTTCGGGTACTCGCCGCCGCAAAAGTTGTGCGCTGACGACCAGGTTCCCCTAGGTTCAGCGAGAAATGCTCTGTGCTACTAGATCCTTGCGCTCCAAATCTGTGACTGGGCACTCTATGGCTTCGTTGTCGAACTGCCAGGCTTTGTGAGTATAGAGGGGGCTATGGGCAAACTAGCTGTCGACGTGAAAACAGTACAGACTTTAGACTCTATCGAACGCTTTACGGCGAGAAACAGAATGAAAAGAGAAGAGAGCACATGGGAACGTCGGAGCGCCGAAATATGGTTGGAATTAGTTGTTAGACGCCTTAGCTGACTTTATCTCTATTACTGCTCGACCTGACAATGAGTATTGAAGAGTCCAGTCCGTCAACTGGTTCTCATTCTTGACTGCTTGCCGTGGACTTAAAGAAACACTAAATTAAAAAAAAAATGTAGGTAGGACACGTAACTAAAATTTTTCCGCGAAAAAACACATTTTTTTGGCGGCATATTTATGTTGCGATTTCTAATATAGGTGGAGGTTACCACCCACTCCAGGCCCTACCCACTGAATGAAGGCCCCGCCAAGTACTATTGGATCGACTTGGATACCCGACCGAACACGTTCAGAAGCCTAATGTCTCCCTGTCGAGACGTGCGGTGCGTCTAGTTTGTCGTCTGGCACTGCCTGCTGGTCGTGCAGGCAGATGCGCGGCAGCGTCAGGCATCGCCTGATATGAGAACACAATCTACTACCACCTGCAACGCGTGCGAGATGCGAACAAAGAAGCAGCGTGCCCGAGTCTGTCACTGCCAGCGTCCATCTATTTCGCCACCGCCAATAACCGCCTGTCATGCCCCGAAGACGCGACCATGAAAGCGTCTCTCTAGCGTTCCATTATGCAGGAGCCACAATACAATACAGGCGTATGCCAGTGTCCATCGGTGTGCGTTAAAAAGCGGCCGTTAGAACTAAAAAATCGTTAAAATAAAGGTGCAGTTCTGTCAGCTTTTCCGTTCTTGTCTATTTTTTACATGGCGTCCGCAAGCAGGGCGGGTATGCGTCCTGACGCACAAATCGAAAAAGAATAAAGATTTATTTTGGCAGGCCCGTTGCGTTAAAATACTTGCGAGCTACTTGACTTTTGAAGCCAAATCTCCGGAACATGTCTAAACAAAAGTTGATGCAAGTCGAACGCCTCATTGCCTCCATCCAAATGCCACCGAAAAGTCTTACCTTTGTGGGTGTCCTCTGAGTACTGAAACCGAGGTCGCAATCACGATGGTTGCACATTTCACAGAACAGCGGGACCAATCTTTTTGGAACCCACATCTTTATGTAACATCAACACGCGCAAAGAAAAAAACTCAACGGCAGGACGCTCAGCTTATGCCCGCCTCGCTATAAAAGCATGGCAACCCCCCCAGCGCTTCCAAAGTCGTGTATACTTGCGATAGTTATTGGTGCAAAATATATCGGTTAATAAGACCTTCTAAACATCTCAGTGAACTCCAAACGACTCTCACTAATAAAAAATGGATAGACGAGCTCAACGACCTAAGGGGTACGCTTCGGAAATCTTTATTATACACAAATGTAGACACAATACGCCTACTACAAGCATCAGCTGAACATACATTCAGCGCATACACATACACAGCACATACAAACATCAATACAACGGCACACTAACACGATCACTACTTCCGAGCTCTGCGTTTCCGTCTTTTATACCGGTCGTTTTGAACGTACGGAATTTCCCGGTGATCGCCTAAGCAATAAAATATATTCCCAGCATGTTGATTTTTTTCCAGCAATGTCGTACCTCTGAGAGTATTTTGAACGGCTCAGGGCATGAATCTCTTAGTAAAAAGTAAACGCTCGATCATGCCGTAATTATTTGAAAGCCAAGAAATCGAAGTTAGAAAGCCAATAAATAAAGTGAGAAAGAGGGGTCAAACCGGTAACCAGTTTGACCAGGTAGGCCAATCTGGTGACCAGTTTGGTCAGTCTGGTTACCATTTGGACCAGTTCGGCGTCTGGTGACCAGTTCGGCCAATCTGCTGACCAGTTCGGCCAATCTGGTGACCAGTGCAGCAAATCTGGTGACCAGTTCGGCCAATCTGGTTACCAGTTAGGCCAACGCGGCGACCAGTCAGGCGAATCTGGTGACCAGTTAGAGGGCAATCTGGTGGCCAGTTAGATCAATATGGTTACCAGTTAGACCAGTTTGGCTACCAGTTGCACCAGTTTGATTTCCGGTTAGACCAGTCTGACCAGTCCAAATACCAGTTTGACCAGTCCAAATACCAGTCTGACCAGTTAGATTTTCAGACTCTTTCCAATAGGGGTATGTATGAAACTGCTAGCTGCAAACGCCGGCAGCCAATTTTGTAATTGTTCGAAACCCAAGCAGAAAATCATGAGCCATCCCATTCTGTGACCGTGGATGACCAGCGAAGCTGCTTAGCACACGACACCGACCCGCCCCGAGGAGCCAGAGGAAACTAGACACGCGCGACGGGACCGCCACCCCGGGAGAGCGGAAGGAAAGGCAACTGGGCACGCGAGCGCTTGGAAAGACGACAAAGAGAGGGCCTTGCGAGCGTAGACATGTCCGACACGAGTCGCACCGCGGCAAAACTTTCAGAAACCTTTATTATTTACCTGACTGTCTACTGATCTTGAAAATGGTGCCTATCATTAACTAATCTACTTAATGGACCTATTTAGAAATTACCCAAGCATCAAGGAGAATGCACGGAATGGTGTTCCACACGCCGCACGTGCCGGCGTCTGCAGTAGCATAGCCAGCTTTGTACTCACAACGCCGGGCAGTTCAACGACGGAGCATAGAGTGCCCGTTCTCAGATTTTGAGCGCGAGGATCTGGTAGCAGATAGCATCAAAGAGTTATTTCTCGGGCAACATGGACGTCAGTGCACATATTTTGCAGCGGCGAGGATTCGAAACACACTTGTTCGCTCGGGAGAAGTGTGTTTCGGCGTCTCGCTGCAGCAAGGCGCCAGTCACGTTGCTTTCCTCTCATCCGTTGTCTGCCACTCCACCTTTTCCATCTCGGTGATCGCTTCTCGTGGCGATCTGCCAGGCGTTGTCAGGCTATGGCAGCAGTAACTGTTCTAAAGCGAAAGCCTAAAACAAATGGCATCTTGTACGCGCGTTCGTCAGCGCTTTATTTTGGTTATTTACTTCGAATATTTTATACGGGAAAGGCGTGAGTGTGCGCCGCTTGCGGCGGCGCGACCGTAGTTTTTAGTCACTGCCCACGAAAAATCCACTAAACCCTAGTCATAAACTGCTTCGCTCCAGAAAGCAATTCAAGGGTATGTTATAAAACAATAATGACTACATCCAGATTGTTTGCTTCTCAAACGTACAAGGTATGCCCAACAAAAGGCTATCACGGCAAGGAGAAACAATTTTACAACCCTATTCCACACGTCAATCATCCCTTCAGTCAATGAGGGAGGTAAGCACACGGCACTCGGCGAGGCTTAAAGTGGGTCCTAACCTCCACCTTTTTCGCTAAGTTGCGTCTGGCGGCGTATCTAGAAACCAAACAAAAAGGAACAGTGAGTGTGATCAGGACGAGGAAGAGGACCTCCGACCGCCGTCGTTTCATGAAGGATACCATTTTTTAGAGCACCTGAGACTGGGTGGAAGAAACACGACGACGTCTCAATAGCGTGCGCTATTGATACGTCGTCGTGTTTCTTGCACCGAGTCTCAGGTGGTCTAAAAAATGGTAAACTTACACCAGCTCGCCTGCGCCCTAACTGTGTTTTCATGAAGGATATTGCCGTTTTTTTCTAAGCTCCATTTTACGTGACTTTCCGAAAGAATTGTATTTTTTTTTTCTTCAGTGGTCATATGGTATTTTTTAAGACTGATCGCATGCAATTAGTTCTCCTGCTTAGTTTTCCAGTAAATTCTTTGTGAATATGAACACAGCTATTGACACGCCATGTTATTTTATTTTATTGACATAAAGGCAAGTTTGAATTTGTCATATATGTCGATTTAATGTATATATGTTAGTCATGTACGACCATTAAACGTTTTAGAGGCAACTATAGGCGAACTGAAAAAGGAAAATGAAAGTCGAACGTTGCCTCCAATCGACTGCTAATTCAAATGAAGAACTTTCAAATGAAATCCTCTTTAGGCATTCAAAATCTGACTTGAGGTCACAATGAAAAAATTAACAAAAACGATTGACGTACTGCTGCAGAGCAAAGTGGCTGCCATGAAAATAGCGTAATGTTTGCACATTATAGGGACGTCGAAACAACCTTGGTATTTGTGAATATGCGGAGAGGAAGTCGTCTGCTACTTGCGCAAGAGTTACGGTGACGTCAGAACGACACCGAGCTCTAATTGGCTTTGAATGAAAGGATGATGGGTAGCCCTTAATGCTAGATTCATTAAGGTTTACGAACTATCTTTTTTTCAATCAGCCAATAGGAGTTAAGCATTGTGACACAATTGTAACCCCAAAGAAGCAGACGAACCTGCGTTTGCATAAGTTTCAGACACTTGCTAGTTCAAATCTTAAGGCGTAGAACGCATACTTTTCGGGGTTGCAGACGAAGCAGGTCCAGTTCCCCGCCGTCACCGTCTGCAACATGAACCCGTGGAGAAAGTCCATGGTGTGCAGCGAAAGCAGCTTCGTCAGCAAGTCGGCCAAGAGGCTCATCAGCCACCTCTGTAACGGTGTCCCCAGAAACGTCACGGTAAGCGAACCCGATATCAGCATGTCTAGGACATAGAGGCGTTGACACGCCCTTTTCAGCTAAACGCACAATATGATTAGAAATAGAAGAAAAGGATAAAAATAGCTTTCTGTGACGTTAGGACGACAAGCTCTGATTGGAAGGATTGTGGGTAGACGCAAGGGGTTAGCTGTTTTTGTCTCTAGCCACTGTCGCTCTCTAATAAAAGCAAGCAAGCATGTCGTCTGCTCCTTGTACAGGCTCTGGCGTTCGAGCGCCGAAATAGGAACGCGTTCAGCGGTCCAAATTTAGGTCCTGCGAGAGAAACAGGGGACAATCTTGCAGGCTCTGATTGCTTGGAGACAGGTGGTCAAAACAAAAGTGACTAGCGTTTGCTTTAAGATTACCATTGAAATTGGTTTTCAGTGGAACATTTCACGTTGTATACTTCAAAGCGTAGCTCCATCGCAAAAATTGTGAACATTATAGGGAGTTTCAAAAATGGGAGAGAACAGAGATTGAGCCGCGTCGAAAGCTGTGCTTGGAGCTTCTATCGAGTGATGGCTCAGCGTGCCGGTATGAAAATACGCCATAACGGCTGTGGCTGATCAGATTGCAAATAATCATCGTGTCATCAACTTCCGTCGTAAACACAGTAACAGAAATACATATGAGGTAAATGCGATTCTACACACCTGCCGACGTTGCGTAGCTCAGCTGCTTTCATTTGACTGTTGTGCCAACTCTGGGTATACCGATTCTAAATACATTTCTCGCAGCATCTCGTTAGTGTGCGTCAGATTGTGTCCTTGGCATGCTCTACGATATTGTACTAGTACTAATTATTCACGGCATAAAGCTACGCTCTCAAATTTCCTCAGATAACATGCACCAATAAATTCACCGTTAAGCCGGGGTCATATACTGGCTATCCATAATACAAAAGACCGTCTGCAGACACTGCATTCATCGTTTTACTTCTTAGTGTGGCTTTTCTGACACACTGAACATACCGAACATACCTGCGGACATGTTCGAAGCTTACGCAAGTATGAAGCAAACATGAGTTTAACATGCTTGAGGCGAATTCAGAAATTGATTCTGGCATCACGCCTGCAGCGAATACCATGTTTTTTGTAGGATGTAGGACGAGCAGCGTTACTGCAGCTTTAAGGAAGAGTTAAAGCTCGCTAAGTGAAGGAGCCAGCTTTTCCGGCTTGTTTTACAGCGAGCTTCGTGATCAAAATACTCTTAGCCCTGTGGTCTTTCTAGCCGACTTCAGATAGCCTCCAATGTCGCCGCCATTCTACATGCACTCTCTTTTATCGTGTACGAGTCACAGCTGACCAAAGAAGACCTGGTAATGACTGAAAAGCTGAAGACCTGGATCTCTGCCGAACAGCGCCGCAATATAAGTCGGGCCGACCGGCTGGGTCACCAGATGAAAGACATGATCATCGAGTGCCGGATTAAGGACGGCGACTGCCTCAGTACAAAGTAAGACGTCCATATAATCTGTAGGACGCGCATACCAGAGTTACCCCAAGAGGTTACCAGAACACTGGAATGAACCATATGCGAAAATCCCAGAAGCGCAAGAGCAAAGCACGCAGCAAATTTTGGGAACTTGAGGTGTTCTCCTTCTTGTTCCCGCAGCGTCTACCACGTGAAACTGGAGAGATAAAAAAAGAGAGATAGGCTAGTGCAGGAACATCTCAGGGATCGAAGAAGAGTAACCTGTCTCCGAACGATAGGGATCACGAGATGGATAGTGAGAGAGAGAAAACAGGTCGTTTCGATATTTAGACGGTGAGCTCATGTCTGTTGTGAAATTAGAAAAATTTTTTTTTATAATGAATAGTTGTCTATTGCAGTAAAACTGATTATATATACATTATCTCACACCTGCACGAGCAAAGCTACCTTCCACAGCGTTTAGTTGCTAGTCAGTTAGAATACACGCGGTACACCGGTACTGATGCTCACACTGGGGCAATTTGCCAAGGGTTATGTAACTGGGGCCTGACCGGAGCCTGAGGTCTGCAGCTATAGACCAACACGCAGCCCTGACGTCACGCAGCTGCGTTGGCGCTGTCGACGGCACTGCGCATGCGCAGACGCTTCACTTCACGCGAAATCGGTTTCTGCGCACGCGCAGTGCTCACACCTGGCGTGGGCAAACGCGAGCTTGTTTGTAAACAGCGTGTCGGTATATTTGTATTTGTATTTGTATTTATTTGCCATTTTGTCTTAGGGTGGCAGGGAAAAAAGGTGTATGAAAACACGTGACTCAGGTCCCGTACCCCATACAGGTTTCAAAGCGGCGCAGCTCTTACTTTGAACACACAGCATATATACAAATAAAACACAAGAACATAACAAAAATAACAAGAAATATGTACATTTCTAACGCAAGGAAATGTCTGGCAGAATTTTTTCACGAGACTTTATACAGGCTTGAAAATATAATCCTTTATTATTTTTTTTAAATGTATTTGCAGATCTTGATTTAGTTGCTATATCAAGAATTTGTGGTTGCATATTTAAAAGTTGTGTTAATTGCTGCTTCAATGTTTGTTCTCCATAATTAGTACTTATTTGGCCTCTATCATATTCCACACGTCTCAAGTTGTATTGGGTGTCTCTTAACGGAAATTGAGTAACAAAGCACTCCGTGTGCCTCTAAGAGAATTGAAGATTACTTTTGCGAAGTTGAAAAATATTAGCTGTTGGATAGTGAATAAATTATACTTCTTAAAATAAATGTACGTGTGATCATTATAACACAACCATGCAATGGACCGAATTGCTTTTTTTTTTTTTGAGTACTAAAAGTTTTTCAAGGTTGCTTTTTCATGTCGTTCCCCAAACCAATGAACAGTAATGTAGGTGAGAGTGCACAAGTGCACTGTATAGTTGGCGCTTATGTTATGTTGGTATTAAAAGTCTTAGTTTATGTAATATGCCGATTGAACGTGAGAGAGTAAAAGATAGTTTAGATACATGAATTGTCCAGTGCAAATTTTCGTGAAACCATACACCCAACAACTTTATGGATTCAACCTTCTCTAATTTGTTTTAATTAAATTTTATATCGATTTCATAATTAAGTGCCTTCTTTTTTGCCCTGAAAATAATATATTTAGTTTTAGAAATATTCAATTCAATCTGGTTTGTCACTAGCCACGTGGATAGTTTGTTTAACCAACCATTTGATACACTTTCGAGATGTCTGAGGTCATTGTGGAAAGAAGAAAACATTGGAGTCGTCTGCAAAAAATACCATGTCCGCAAAATGCGAGATATGTACAATATCATTAATATAAACAAGAAACAATAATGGTCCTAAAATGGATCCTTGTGGGACACCATACGCGATTTGTTGAATATCAGACTTAACGCCATTATAGCCGGTAAATTGTGAACGAGAGCTCAAGTAACTGCATATTAATTCTAGCGCTTTGCCCCTTACACCATAGGTACTTAGCTTTCTTAACAGTATTTTGTGCTTAATTGAGTCGAAGGCTTTTCCAAAGTCAACAAAATATTCCGATAGTATAGTACTTATTTTCTATATTGGTTATAATTTTATCTTTAATGTTTAGAAGTGCCTTTTCCGTCGATTTATTCCTTTGAAATCCAAACCGCTGTTCTAAAATTATTTTGTGTTTTGTAAAAAAATTTGTTAGTCGACTATTTATTATCTGTTCTAATAAAGGGACCATCGAAATAATTACGACACAGAATGTGTTTTATTATTAAATTTTTATGGGCTTTTTTAACGTTCGGCTTTAGCAGCCGGCTGTAGCCAAAAACCGACATTGAAAAGCGTTGCGCCCCCCCGGGGAACCATATTACAAAATCTTCAGTTGCCCGACAGGATTTGAACTCATCACGTGTATGTTTGGGCCTTGTCCCCTGTGTCGTCCGTCGTGACCGGTTAGAATTAGGGAGTTTTAGTAGACCGTGTTTCCCGTTCCGCTAGCCCTCCGCTACGAAGAAACCGCCACTGCGCCAGCGCGTCGATGGCCTTGGCTGTAGAGTTCCGGGTAGCGGAGGGGCTTAGCGGAGCGGGAAACACGGTCTACTAAAACTCGCTATTATCTGTAAAGTATACGCGGCTCGTCATATACTCGTTTTGACCTAGCCTATAGTTAAACGATTCCCTCAAACAGTCTTCTCTGTAGTACGACATACGGTGGCACTAACGAGGTAGAGGGGCTTAGAGCGATAAACTGGGGTTCCGGTCTGCACTCGAAAGTGACCCCCATAAGGCGGCTGCCATCGTACGCGAATTTGACCACTCGTCACATGACCAAACCAAATACGTGACGTCACAGGAAAGTTGGCAGCGCCCATGCAGCGGCTGGCCCAGCTGGGCCGGAGCTTGTCCGATTCTTTGTTGGTTGTCGTTCGTCTCGGCAAGTTGATTTCAAACGCGGAAGCCGTCGTATGAGGCTGGTCGAAAGCGACCTCAAAGTTCAGCGTGGTGTCTGACGTAGGTATAACGTGAAAACACGGAGGAACGGTGTGCATTTCGCTGGTGATCGAGGGGATATTGCCACGGAAGAATCTGCCCTACGTTGCTCGGACCTCGGATTGATTCGGATACCGCTAGGATGAAATTTAAGACGACGTTTTTGTGCCCTGGTTGACGTGTGCAATATTGCCCTGGTTGACGTGTGCCCTGGGAGCGTGTGCAATATATTTGGACACACCGTTTAGCGACGGAAATTGCGTGAGTCGTGCTTGGCAGTGGGCAATCGTGGTGCCGCTTCGTTCAAATGACCGAAGGCTAGCTCACTTTGGTTGTGCGGCGCACCGGAGAGCTGCCTTGAAGCTGGTAGTTGCCGTGCCGTGCTAAATGATGCTGTGCTGCTTCCCAAATTATTCCGGCGTAGACGTGCACTTTCACGGAGCACAGGTGTGCGGCGTACCGAAGGGCTGCCTTCAAGCTGGTAGTTCCTGTGCCATGCTTTAGGTGATGCTGTGCTGCTTCCCAAATTGTTCCGGCATAAACGTGCACTTTCACGGAGCACAAGTGTTGCAGTTGATATTGATTCCACTGGTCTGTCGCACGCTTCGTCGACACAAAGGTGTCATCAACACACGTTACCCGAATGGACATTTCATTGCGCGTGTTACCTACCCAGTCCACCTGTTCACGCCGCTTTGCGAAAACTGTCTGCAGCGGCTCATTACCAGAAAAGTGGTCCCATATCCATTTCAGTTCAGTTCGCCCACGGCAGTCGCCAAACCCCGAGGGAGAGGATTTATTCGGACAGAATGCCACTAAAGCAATGCAGCTTCTTTAGTGGTCAGGGTAGTCTCTCTTCTGTCAGTTTTGTTATATTGTCACGGGTGCTTGCTCCAGTCCTATCTTCTATATATTTACTATTCTGGAAAGTTCCAGGCTATGCTCAGCTGTCATCGTATGTTCGGGTGGAGGTGCTGGGTACTTTACCCATAGGCCTTCACTCTATGTGCACCTTGGCGGCTCTTCAGCCGAGTTTCCCGATAACGGGACACGGGTGGCGGACTATCCCGCGTCTTAAACCCTTGGCGAGCCGTGAACCATTTACTATCCCGAGCCCAGCAGAAAGACCGCAAGACGAGCAAGTACCACAAGGACGAACCTCGAAAATACACCACGAAGAACCTGAAATCCGAGTCGGTCGCTCCTACCAGCAGGAACCACCGGAATTCAGTCTTTTGCCAGAAAAATCCGAAGCTCACTAAGCCATGGATGAAGAAAGAATTAACAATTAAAACAGGGACAACACAACCACATCTTTCAACTAGCAACAGACGCGTAAACTTTCAACAGCGAGCAGCCGACTATACCCAGTAGGAGTAGGGGAGAGAAGGAAAGATAAAACACGCGAAGTGCAAGTCAGGGTGGTAGGGTTATCTCGGATTTTAAAAATTCGAGATAACAGACAGTGGATGCACTGTCAAACACGAAAAGAAATTCATTCCATGCAAAGAGAAGAAAGTTTACTCCATCCCCTTGAGCTGTGGCCATCAATACATAGGACAGACCGGCAGATGCACCAATCATTTCAATATGCACCAACCATTTGCATATGCATCAAGATGCACCAACCATTTCAATATTTATCGACATGACAGACCAAACCGTCGAGGTGGCGGAGTCCTTATCGCTGTAGACAGAAGAATCACAAGTCAAAAGGTTTTGTCTCACAGTGCTCTCGAGATTGTTTGGGTTTCTTTAACTTGTTGTTTTGGGTCCTTTTTGATTGGCGCATGTTACCGTCCTCCCGACGCTTTCCCCGAATTTAGTAACTTGCTTCGTGATGAACTGTCTATGTTGTCACTGAGTCACACCAACAAACCTATTTTTCTTTTTGGTGATTTTAATTTTCATTGTATAGACTGGAATGCACTACGAGTTGTTTCTCACTACGAGTTGTTTCGGGGGATCTAGTGTGGACCGCGATTTTATAGACTTGTGTTTTTCTTTTAACCTCACCCAG